ATATATATATATATATATTTGGAGGGGTACTGGGGATCGAACTCAGGACCTTGCACTTGTGAGGCAGGCAGCGGCACCACTAAGCTAAATCCCTGGCCCATTCTACAGAAATATTAATATAAAATAATAACATAAGCCAAAAATTTATGGCTGTAACAGCAGGCTTATAATCTCCACTATCTTCTACAAATGAAACTAGGTTGGTACCTGAATAAGGCAATGTTAGCAAACAGGGAAGTATGGCTAATAGACCAGGGGAAGACAGGGAAGACTATGGCTAATAGGACAGAAATCCATAGTCACAAGATACAAATGGCTGCTATGAAATCTCTCAACTTTTCAATAAATTTCTTTATGGAAAATACTCTGTAGGCAAAGAAAACAAGACATTAAGCAGGATTCCATCTGGGTAGCACCTATCCGGTTCCCTGGAAGGCCAGGTCTTAGGAGACCCACGTCCGGCACATGCCTTAGTGTCTTCTGGCTAACGGAAGGACCGTCTCTAACTTGCCCTGGAAACCTTCGGTACTAGTACAGGTCACCAGAGGCAGTGTCCACAAACCCTCCCGGGTCTGACACCCTCCCATCCGGTGAAGAGCAGGAGGAATGAGAAGTACTGGGAGACTGACCAGTGGGCTGGATGTTGACCACGGCACCCTCGGAGCGCTTTCTGGTCATGGCATACCACGACCCATCGGGATCCTGGATCCACTCCGCGGCCTCGCAGTAGAACTCGCCCTGGTCGGAAGGCTGCAGGTGGAAGACGGTGAGGCGGAAGGTGGTCCTCCCCAGCTTGTCCAGCCGCACCTCCCCCAGACTCTGCCTCTGGGCGTATTCACTGCTGGACTGCAGCACGAAGTCCCGGCTCAGGGAAATGACCTCCACGGGCTTCTCGCCGCCTTTCTGCCGGAGCCAGGCCACAGACAGGTGGCTGTGCTGGGATGTTTCCGTGACCACCTCGCAAGTGAGCTCCAGCGGGTCCTGCTCCACTTTGTGTAGAGTCTGGGGCACCGCAGTGGTCTGTAGGGAGTCTGGGATCACTGCAACACAGAAGGCCCGGGAGCACACGGTCACAGAGCCACGAATCTGAGGTCCACAGGAGGCGAGACTCCCACTGCGTCCCAAGAGGGACAGCCTCTGACAGGCAGCTCAGGGTGACCGGCATCCCCAGAAGGCATGTAAACAGCAAGATTTTGTTCAGATATGTAATGCAGTTTTAATGCATTTTTTGGCACTTACATTTACCTGTTTCATATTTTAATAATGCTCAGATCAAACATTTTTGAAAGTTTTACATAATATAGACTCCCTGAAAATATACTGTGTCAGAATCATTTTCTTTTAGGCTAAGATGTGTTGCTGATTTGGGTACTGCTCCAAAATCCTTGCCCTTTCCTTCAGGCTGATCTTCAAAGAGAAATGCTCCTGGAACTTCTAGCTTCGCATTTCACACGTCCTCCTTATTCACCTTCTCTCCCACCCACCCTCCTCCCTGTTCTCTACCAGCAACCACTGCCCTTGGAAGGCTGTTCTTTCTTTTTTACCATGAAACAGTTTCGGAAGAGAAAACCATCATCACTCCCTATTTTCTTTTCGTAAGTTTTATACTTTTGTATAATTCCTCAAGGTGGCCCCCCTGGAAGAAGCCAAGGTACGGGATGACTCAGGCAGGAGGAGAAAGTGCCCGTTCTCCCCTGGCTGGATTCCCAACCTCATTCTTACACCTTTCGAGAGACTAAACACGACTACCCCTCTATCTGATGAGAGGATCCTGGTCACAACTAGTGTATTTGCTTCCTGTACTCACCAGGGTCAGGTCTTAAAGCCCTCCTGATTAGGATACAGACTTACTGGAGTCAGGAAAAATAAACAAGGGTAGTCTTTGTACTAGTAAAAGAAACACCAACACGCCCTGCTTAATTGTGACCATGAAAACTAGACATTAAAACACAGGCAGAAAAAGAAAAAAGCCTTGCTACCCTTAATCCTTTCACACAGGCAAACATTGCGGCAGGGCTGCCTGTAATGACGGCTTCCGGCTCCTCTTCCCGGAGCTCCCACCATCACTTGGGGGGCCTCAGGGGAGACAGTCAGTTCTCATATCCTAGCATGGGGCCCGAGGCCTGAGCAAGAACCTGGCCCGCTCAGCAGCACTCACACCTCTCAGCTGCTCTAGCGGCTGTGCTTTGTGAGAATGAGGGAATCCACAGAATTTCACCCCAGTGACCTGGCGAGCCCGGCATTTTAAATAAGACCCATGGGGAGCAGCAGATGCAGAGAGGATTTTGTCTGCTATCCTCCCATCTACCTAAAGATCAGATCTGCCAAAGGAGAAAGTAATTACCTTTGTTCCCTTTCCTGAGTCTTCATTAACTGAACTCGCGTCTACGGGGAGGGAGATTAAAGGATGTAACCACACCTGGACAGATTCTGTCACACACTGTACATCCCCTAGGCCCATTCAGTTCCCAAAGAGAAGCATCTGCTACTGTCTGGGCATTGCTAGTTCATTCACCCTCAAAACCGTCTCATTCTTTGTCTCCCGCTGCCCCATGAAGAAAGGCCTAGGAGCATGTGGACCTCACTGGGTTATCTGGAAGTCACTGTCCTGCACTTCTCCCCGATGCACATGAAAACATCTGTGCAACTATCCCCCAATTAATTTGCTTACCCTTGGTTCATTCCAGCTTTCGTGGGTGAGAAGGGCAGTTTTCCTGGACCTGGACAGAGTTTTGTCCCTCTTCCAGCTGATATTACACGCTTTATCTTCCACGTTAGCACAAATGCCTTGGCCTTGTATTTTCATATCCCCTCTCACCACCAAGAGCTGTAATGACCTCTGAATTTCTTCATCATGTTTTTGTTTCAGTACCAGGGATCGAACTCGGGTCCTTGTGCTTGCGAGGCAGGCAGTGGAACCACTGAGCTAAATCCCAGGCCCACCTCTGAATTTCTTAACATGTACATTTTATTTTTTTTTTTTTTTTTTTTTTTTTTTTTTTTTTTTACAGTTTAGCCTCAAGCTTCTATTATTGTCAAGAGAGAACAGAAAAGTCTGTGCTGCCTGTTGACCTCTAAAATATTTGAGTCATCTTGCTTTCATTTTTAGGTCAAATGCATGGTGCCAGACAGAGGTATGCTGCAAAAGAAGGGACAGGGGCCTGGCACTGGCCACATGGAACGGGCACCTCCTTACCCACTAGGTTCATCTTGGCACTGTAACTCCCGAAGTACCGCTCGTCGGTGTTGGGCGTGTGGCACTCATACTCCCCTACGTCCCGGGCCTGGAGGTCTGTGATGTGCAGCAAGGCTGAGTTCCCCTGGATCCTCTCCACGTAGATCTTCCCACCACGGACACGCTGGGTGTAGATGGCGTATGGGAAGGAAGAGTCCACGGTGCTGACGATCTGCACCTCGCGCTCGGGGGCGGAGGGCAGATAAATGGACCACTGGAACTGCTGCTCGGAGGGCCCTTGGTAGCCACTCACGTTGCACCAGATGGTGATGTGGGAGCCCTCCGTGCGGAACAAGGGCCCTTCCTGCACGGTGACCTGCCGCTGCGCTGACACCACACCTGTGGGGAGACACACACACGCTTGCTTACTCCTCAGACCAAAATGCAACCCAGGCAGCAGTCTCCAGAGGGACTGATATTTGTGTGACATGATAATAATTACTGGCCCTTTCAGAGGCACTCTGATTTATAAATATTAATTAAAACACTCTGGGAAAAGCACTGTCTCTAATTTGCACGTATAGGAATTTGATGGTGCAAGGACATGGTTTTGTTACTTATTCAACAGCTGACCCTTGTGTATTTCACTCGGTCCCTCTGTTTGTCATTTATGCAGCAGTTTTATATCTATTCATTAATGCTGTTTATAAAGTTTTTAATAAAATGAGCTGGAAAACTTGAATCCTTGGCACTGATTCAAATGAAAACAAAAGCAACTGTCTTGCAATGCGGCTGAATTAAATGTTCCCTCGTTGATAAGAGGGCCTGCTGGAGAGTCCTGAAGCCCTTACAGGGGGGCTGCACTCTGCATTTTCCAACGCAGCCGGTCCCTGGCCCAACAAGAGGCATTCCTCGTGCCTCTCCCTTCCATAAATGGAGGCAGAGTGGAGCTCTTGCAGGCTGCTCGCTGCCAGTTTGAGCTGAGCACACACAGACAGGAATGTGAAGGGCCGGAGCAGATCCTCCTGCCCAGATTTCCACCAAGTGCCAAACGGACCGTGCAGAGCAGAACCCGTAATGAGTTCCCGCCCTGGAGTCCTCAGTTCTCGTTCGCTATGATCCCCGGCCCGCCCATCCTTTCTGGCTCAGAGAGGGTCATCCAAGGTCACTTCTGCCTACCTACACCGGTGCTTCTTCACGTGGTAACCCTTCCTGGGGCAGAGGCACAATATACGGAGTCCAAGTTCCCATTCTACCCCAGCTGCCCCTATTCGGGTATAATCAGGGATCTGTGTCCTAGAAGCTGGTCCCTGTGTGATGGTATGAGAGGTGAGGGCCCTTAAGAGGTGGGGCCTGGTGCAAGATTCTGAGGTCACTGGGGTGCTGCCCACAAAGGGATCAGAGCTGGTCTCAGGACTTAAGGACAAGAGCTGATTATTACAAAAAGAGAACAACCAGGCCCTCTGCAGTCTCCGGCTTCCCGTCTCAGCATGTGATCTCTCCCTGTGTACACCTTCCTGCTGTGATGTCCTGGGGGTCCCTCAGCAGATGTACAACACATGGGACAACAGCCCTGGACTTTCAGTCTCTCCAACTGTACGCTAAATAACCTTTTTAAAAAATAAAGTACCCAGCCTCAGGTGTGTTGTTACAGAACTAGAAAATGGATAAATAGACCAGCACAACACTGCCTGTGCCTAAGCCACACAGAAGGGGGGAACACGTTCACCCTTGTGTCCCCCTTGGCAGCATCCAGCCACAGGAGTAAAGCAGAAAGATCGTGTTATAGTGATCATTGCAGCCGTGAATCAGAACTGGCTGTGTCATCTTAGACAAGCTGCTTTTCCTCTCCAGATCTCGATCTCCTTCTTAAAATGGTTTCTAAGGCTTCGGAGAAGGCGGCCAGCATGTGTTCCAATACTGGCTTTGCCACTTATTAGCTGTGACCCAGGATATACTAAGTTACGCTCTCTGAGCCTCAGTTTCCTTGTGTGCAAGATGGGAATAATAATCCATGTCTCAGAGAGCTATGGCAAAGATTAAGTAAGCTGATGTTTCTAAAGCCCCTAGTACAGGGCCGAGCACACGGTTTAACCTCAATAACAAGCTGCTAAGACCCAAATGGCTCAGAACATTCAGCGGGCTTTGGCCAGTGACTGCTCAAAGGCATTTCAGAGACCTCTCAACAAGGAAGCCACCTAGGGCTGCCCACCTCCGCCCAGAGCTACATCCCACTGCCATAAAGCCTTCCTTTTCATACCCCAGTGCAGGGCAGCTGTCCAGCAGAAACCTCTGCACCGAGGATCCAGCCACACACAGGTGGGAGCTCACAGCCTACTGGAAGGCAGCTGCCAGGGGTGGCTGGCACTTACAGTACTCAGATCTAACCCGCAGGAGGACAGGCTTAGCACCATGGGCTACGCAAGAAAAGCCCTGTGGCTTACAAACTGTTATTCACGCAAAACCCCAACTTTGCTTCAGCAGAAGAAGGAAAAATGAAGACGGAAAAAAAAAAGCAGGGGGAGGGGACACGTAAACAGAACAAAGTCGTATCTGAATCGGATACATTCTGTTTGATGACATTCACTACTATATTTAAAACCATAGAGAGAAGACAACTCATTAGTAGTTTTCAGTATGTTACAATTTGGTGTGTAGCATTAGTTCTATGTACGCTTTTTAAGACAATTTAAAAACGTATAAATACACACACGTATTGTGACAGTTGAATCAAATGTTTGCAGTACTCCTGAAATGCAGAGCATGTTGAAAACAATTTAGCTACAATCATACCGCCTAGGTCTCCTGTGCATTTCAGCATCCAGTGTCAAAGCAGTGACAACCACACCCCTGGCAGCATGAAGAAGGCTGGAGGCAGACCAGTCTACCCAGCATCGTCCTTCAAGGGTTCCTCTGCACCCATACTGGAATCCCAGAGGTACTTGGAGAGCTTTCAAAACAACAGTGCCTAGACTCCCCCCGACCACCGCCACACACACTGTGATCTATGGGAGGGACAGCTAGGCATTAGGATTTTTATAAGCTCCTCAGGTGACTTGATTTTTTTGTTTTTGTTTTGTCTCACTATGTAGTTGAGACTGACCTGGAACTCACTATGTAGCCCAGGCTGGTCTCGAACTCACAGCGATCCTCCTGCCTCAGCCTCCCGAGTGCTGGGATTACGGGCATGCACCACCACACCCGGCTAATCATTTTATGTTGAGATTTTATTTTTTTATTTTTTGGTACGGGGAATCAAACCCGGATCCTTGTGCTTTCAAGGCAGGCAGTGGAACCAATGAGCTAAATCCTCAGCCCCCTCCTCAGGTGACTTGAACCAGGTGTGCCAGGGTCAAGAACTGTTGCTTGAAGATTCATCTACCTAGACAGTGCCAGGCAGGTGACCAAATGCAAGAACACACCCTAACTTAAGGCTCTGAACAGCTTTAAGCTTCTCCCTTCTAGAGATTCTACACCTATTAGGTTCGGTAAGTTTCACTCCCCTCTTGCCTGGTCCACAGAAAGGAGCTGAGCCACAGCAGACAGAGCCCACTGTGACACAACCGCCGTGTGTCTAACCAGGGTGCACAGTGATTGCAGGCCTGAAAAAAGCACGTGTAGGTGGATCATGTGAATCCCACACCCTGCAAGGTACACAGCGTTAAGTGGCCCGAAGGAGCCAGGGCTCGTTCATCCAGAAGCAGCCCCAACAAATAAATAAATAGATACAGAATTGTACTTTACCCACAGATATTCAGCCCTACCTATTTCTTCAGTATTTCCTTATTTGCTTCCCATCCTACAGCCTTTGATCTCTGAAAGTGGTACTATTCTTAGGAAGTGGATCTTGACATAAAAAGAAAAATTAACTCTTCTTTCTTAAGAGTTTGATCTCCTTTCCACACTCTACCCTGACCATGTCCCTCTGCTGGTACCACCCTGCTCGCCTGACTTCTGTCGCCCTCAGACTGACCAGGTCCTGGCCCTGCCCGAGGCATTCCCCAGTCCCATGACTTCTTCCATCTTCGCTCTTAGTGTACAATGGAAGAAGGCTCTTCCTCGGCAAGGATCACTTTTTCAAAAAATAACTAACTTTAGACATTCCCAGATCCCTAGACTCTAGATTACTTTGCAACAAGTAAATACTACTGTAATGTAAAGGGAAAGATCAAAGTGTTATACATAATTGTGTAAAAGGAATAAAAATCAAAAGCTAGGTGATGATAGCAAATGATTATTTTCTCCTTTATACTTTACTTCCTCCCCCAGCACTCTGCAATGAATATGGCCTAGTTTTATAACTAGAAAAAAATTAACCAAAAAATAAAGATAATACGTGATTGCCACATAACATTTCTTCTGCACTCACTACTGTACTATAACAACTATATATATTTTGTCCCAGGTTCCTGGTCCTGGGCTCTTATCTCTTGGAATTTCCTGAAATACAGGAGCCTTTTCCTATATATAATGAGCCTCTCCCGGACATACCAGAGAAGTATGCTCATGTGATGGATGATTCCAGGATTCCATACGATTTCATGGTTCCAAGGAAGGAGCTGGCCATACTTGAGCTGAAGATGTCAGCCCCACCCCAGACCTCCAGGGACAGGACGGGGTCTGGACACTTAATCACCAATGGCCAAAGTCTTAATCAAGCCCATGAAGTGAAACTCCATACAGACACCCTGACCACACACAGGTCAGGAATCTCACAGGGTCAGTGAACACACAGGGGTGCTCTGCACTACCCTCACCCACACCTCCCATGGGCTGAGCAGGGCTGAGCTGTGTGGCAATTAGGAAATGCAGGAACAGGGGTGTGGGACCTCAGTGGTAGCTTATGGGAAGACACCGGGGTTCTCCTTGTGCTTTTGGATCACATACTCTGAGGAATGCCAAATGCCACATGTCAGAGTAGGGTTACCACAGTGGCCTAACAGGGAGGTCCATACCCAACCTCTTGCTAACAGCTAGCACTACACTGCCAGTACCTTGTATGAGCCACCTTGGGAGTAAACCTCCAGCTCCGGTCAAGCCTTCAGACAACAGCAGTTCCAGCTGCCATCACCTGGGAAATTCTGTGCCCAGGTGCTGCTCAATGCCTCAGCCACAGAGACCTTGTGAGATAATAAGAGTTCGCTGTTGTCATAACCAACAAAGACACCTGAGGGTCCTGAGACTGAATATAAAATAGCGTCACTTGCATGTGTGCGTTCTCCTGGGAAGGAGACTGTAAATTTCAAAAGATCCTCAAAGGAAGTCAAACCCCAAAGATTAAGAATCAAGATCAGTGAACAGGACTATGTCCTTTCAGACTGAGCGTGACAGTTCCTGGCCACACAGACATACAATGTCACTTCACCAGCTTTCCAAGATGGCGCACATCTAAGGATACC